CCCCCCCCCCCCCCCCCCATATGGGAACTAAATGGGTGTAGGGGTACTCAGCACACCCCTAGGCTAGGTACCATGTAGTTCCGATAGCCATGTAGAGGTAGCACCTCATAGAGAGATACCAACCATATTAGCTTGGCATAAAGAACCTTTAGGCGTTTAATGAAAGAACGAAGAACCAGTGAAACCCAAGGGGCAAGCCCCAAGGGACCAAGATTAAAACCAGATGTCCTAGAACCGAAATAAGAAACCGTGGCATTCTGTTAAATTAAGATGCGAAGAGAGCCTACAAGTAGATGGCTTACTGAGTATAATTTTTATACTAATCCTTGCTATGTGTTTCCTTTTTTTTTCAGGAGCGCGAGGCGTCGGTCAAGAGTGGGCGTGATCAGACGGGAAGTGTCACAGAGGAATGGGTTGTCCCGGGGCGTCAGTTCAGTCTTAGCCTTTAGTATTATATTTGCATTCTTTTGAAATTTATTTTCCAAACGGTCTTGTGTTCTGTGTTTGTCGTTCGAAAAAACTTTATTGGAATTTGATGATTTTCTTTATTTCATATTTAAATCTCTTTGTGCATTTGTGTCGTGTCGTTAGTCACGGTCCGTAGTAAAATATTAGGCTGTGACAAATTTGGTATCAGAGCAGTCAGGTTATAGGTCATGTAGACATTTAGGATAGAGAGTCGTGTCCTCTGTGACTTCGCTCGTCAATCACATGCCACTCACGACCAGACGTTCTCACGCGACGAAAACATAAAGACAAAGGTTAAGTTAGTATTTATAGAGTATACCATGATCGACTATAGCATTATATCGCACATTACTTAGGAGATGTGTTATGAATGAATTGTGACCATAGTTCCTTTTTCAATTGTGGTAGATAATTGCACCAAAGAGACGTGAACCATATGTAGGGCTAGGACCCAGAAGGGGAAGAAGAGAGGAAGTTCAGGACACCTCGGTTCCAACACCTGAAGAGGAACAACCTGAATTTTAGGAGGAGGTTGGGGATATGCCCCAAACTAGCGAGGGGACAGTACCACAACCATCAAGATCAAAAGGACGCCGAATGAAGGCCAAGGCCCGAAGGCTGCTTGATACACCCCCTACTACTCCCTTCTCCGAGGAGGCCCCATCGGGTTCAACCCCGTGTACAGCAGTCCCGCTAAACCAGCCATTAGCCATGCCCTCAGCTGAGATGTTTCAGACGTTCATGATGACGTCAATGGAAAATCAGGCTCTGACGAACCAGATGATTCAAACCATGATGTCTAATCAGTCAACAGGGCAAGGAGGCAAGGATTCAGGGACTATGACTGTGGAGTCCCGCTACTTAAGAGATTTTCAGAGGCATAAACCGCCTTCCTTTGATGGAGGCAAGGTGAATCCTATTGCCGCTGAGAATTGGCTAGAGGCCATAGAAACGACCTTTCATTTTATGAACTGCCCACCAAAGTATGAAGTCCATTGTGGGACATATATGCTGAAAGGAGAAACGCACTTCTGGTGGAAAGGTGCTCAGAAAACCATTGTACCACAAGGAGAGTTTATTACATGTTGTCAGTTTAAAGATGCATATCTTCACAAATACTACCCAATCACTACTAAAGTGAAAATGCAGACAACCTTCCTCGCATTGAAACAGGGAGACAGATCAGTGGAGGATTATGACTTGGAGTTCAATAGGTTGGCAAGGTTTTCTCCAGCCTCTTTTAGTTCTAAGGAGTTGAAGGGCGAACGATTTATCGCTGGCCTGAGGGAAGAACTAAGGGGGAATGTGGCATCCCAGTCATCCTTTGTCTATACGAAAGCCCTTCAAGTGGCGACCCTGCTCGACTCGCCCCGTACCGACAAGCTACAGCTGGGAATAGCACAATCATCCCACACTCTAGCCCAGGGAAAGGGGACATACCCTAGCCACCCCAGAACTGGCAGACCACCCCATGGCCGCACTGATAGGCGAAAGAGAGTCCTGGTACGGAACATGATCTTGTGTCCTAATTGTCGGCGTCCTCACACGGGGGAATGCAGAGCAGGAACAGACACCTGCTACAGATGCGGTCAGGTAGGGCACTTTGCAGTGGATTGCCCTCAGAAAAACGATCAGCTTGTCAACCTGCCTGCAGTACAGCATGAGAGGGGCCAAGCTGGCCAACATCAGCAGGGGCGAGCTGTAGCCCATGCAACAACAGCCAGGCAAGCTGACCAGCCTGACACGGTTGTTACAGGTACGCTACCCGTATTTGGTCATCTTGCATTAGTGTTGTTTGATTCGGGTTCGACACATTCATTCGTATCTGAAGAGTTTGTAGAGAGCTAGCACATCCAGAGAAAGAACTTTTAGAGATTACCCTATCAGTGTCTACCCCTACTCACGAGCTGTTGCTAGCTACCCATAAGATTAAGGGAGGTGGAGTAACAATATCAGGGCGTGTCATTGAAGCTACACTGATAGTGTTAAGCATGCAAGACTTCGATGTCATCTTGGGTATGGATTGGCTAGGCGAGAATCGCGTTTTGATAGATTGCGAGACTCGAATAGTGACTCTCAGGCTCCCGTCAAGGGACAGCTTTACCTACAAGGGACCCACTTCCAAAGGTTTCCCAAGCGTTATAACACCGCTAAGGGCTAAGAAGTTGATTCATAGTGGCGCAAGTGCATTTCTAGCCAGCGTGACCTTAGATAATAGTAACAAACAAATAACCTCATCGGTACACATCATCAGGGAGTTTGTAGATGTCTTTCCAGAGGATCTGCCAGGTTTGCCCTCAATTAGGGAAGTCGATTTTGGGATCGATTTAGAACCAGGAACGGTGCCGATCTCCAAGGCACCTTACAGGATGGCACTTGCAGAACTCAGGGAATTGAAGGAACAGTTACAGGAGTTGTTGGATAAGGGTTTCTTCCGACCCAGTGTATCACCCTGGGGAGCCCTTGTTCTGTTTGTCAAGAAGAAGGACGGGTCCATGCGGTTGTGTATTGATTACAGAAAATTAAACAAGGTCACTATAAAGAATAAGTACCCTCTCCCGAGAATTGACGACCTATTTGATCAGTTACAGGGAGCAACAGTTTTCTCCAAAATTGACCTAAGGTCGGGGTATCATCAATTGAGGGTCAGAGAAGGGGATATACCCAAGACAGCCTTCAGAAGTCGTTATGGACATTACGAGTTTCTCGTTATGTCCTTTGGCCTTACCAATGCACCAGCCGTTTTCATGGAACTAATGAACAGAGTGTTTAAGGAATTCTTAGACACCTTTGTCATAGTGTTCATCGACGACATTCTGGTATACTCTAAGTCAGAGGCATATCATGAAATACACCTCAGAAAAGTCTTGACAATACTGAGAGCCCAGTAGTTGTATGCCAAGTTCTCTAAGTTTGAGTTTTGGTTGTCTGAAGTTGCATTTCTGGGTCATGTGGTGTCAAGCAAGGGGATTACAATGGACCTAGCTAAGATAGAAGCAGTGATGAGGCGGCCACAGCCGACCACAGTCACAGAGGTGAGGAGTTTTCTTGGGCTAGCTGGTTATTACAGAAGGTTTGTTCAGAATTTCTCCAAAATTTTCTCAGCGCTGACTCAGCTAACCAAGAAGGGCAAGCCCTTTTCTTGGACTCCAGCTTGCGAACAAAGTTTCCAGGAACTCAAGAAGAGGTTGGTAACTGCACGAGTCCTTACAGTTTCAGACGAGTCAGGTAATCTCGTGGTGTACAATGATGCATCAGGGAAAGGCTTGGGGTGTGTGCTCATGCAGAAAGATAAGGTGATAGCGTATGCTTCTCGACAATTGAAAGAATATGAACGAAACTACCCCACGCAGGATCTCGAGTTAGCAGCGGTAGTATTTGCTCTAAAAACGTGGCGGCACTACTTGTATGGGGAAAAAATACAAGTCTTCACTTATCATAAGAGCCTCAAGTACTTATTCACGCAGCAAGAGCTCAATATGAGACAAAGGCGATGGTTGGAACTGGTAAAGAATTATGACATAGAGATTCTGTACCATCCAAGCAAAGCCAATGTGGTAGCTGATGCATTGAGCAGGAAGGTCGTGCATACTTCTACGATGATCACCACACAGGAAAAACTACAAGATGAGATGAAGAGGGCTGGGATAGATGTGGTGGTTAAAGGTGGTAATGTTCAGATGACACAGTTAACGATACAACCCACCCTACGAAAGAAAGTTATCGACGCTCAGAGGTCTAATGAACACCTCAGTAAAGTGTGGAGTCAGACAGAGACAGAGAGGCCAATAGGGTATTCTATCTCCTCAGACGGGGGTCTGCTATGGCAAAACCGCCTGTGCGTTCCCCGAGACGAGGGAATCTTAAAAGATATTATGACCGAAGCCCATGATACATCTTATGTGTTCCACCCTGGAAGTACTAAGATGTATCAAGATCTAAAAAGGTTTTACTGGTGGTTCGGAATGAAGATGAACATAGCGGATTTCATAAGCCGTTGCTTGACCTGCCAGCAGGTGAAGGCCTCGAGACAGCGCCCAGCAGGATTGCTACAGCCCCTGAACGTTCCTCAGTGGAAATGGGAAGCGGTCTGTATGGATTTTGGCTCAGGTTTGCCAAAGACAAAGTAGGGTTTCAACGTCATTTGGGTAATTATAGACAGACTGACTAAGACGGCCCACTTTATTCCAGGAAAGTCCACATATCGAGTGGATCGGTGGGCTCAGTTATATATCAAGGAGATAGTACGCCTGCACGGGGTACCAGTGTCCATAGTATCAGACCGGGATACCAGGTTCACTACTAGTTCTGGAGAAGTCTTCAGAAGGCACTAAGAACTCAGTTGAGGTTCAGTACAGCATTCCATCCTCAAACGGACGGATAGACTGAAAGGCTGAACCAGGTTTTAGAGAACATGTTGCGAGCCTGCTCCTTAGATTTCTCTGGGTGCTGGGACGAACATCTGCCTTTAATGGAGTTTGCCTACAACAATAGTTATCAAGCGACCATTCAGATGGCCCCCTTTGAGGCACTGTATGGGCGTAGGTGTCGAACACCAGTGTTTTGGGAAGAGGTAGGCACGCAGCAACTACTAGGACCAGTGTTGGTCTAGGTCACCAACGCAGCGGTGTAGAAAATCAAGCAGAGTATACTCACCGCACAGAGTCGACAGAAAAGCTATGTAGATGTGCGTAGAAGGGACCTCGAATTTGAGGTGGGTGACCACGTATTCCTGAAGGTGGCTCCTATAAGGGGGATGTTGAGGTTCGGAAAGAAAGGGAAATTGAGCCCAAGGTTCATAGGCCCCTTCGAGATTCTAGATAGGGTTGGGGCTGTGGCTTACAGAATTGCCCTACCACCGAACCTTGCCGCCGTGCACAATGTGTTCCACGTATCCATGCTGCGAAAGTATACTCCCGACCCTACTCATGTAATTGAGCATGGGATGCTTCCTCTTCGAGAAGATCTGTCTTACGAGGAGAAGCCTAGTAGAATTTTGGTTCGAGACACTAGGCGGTTGCGTAACAAAGATATTCTCTTGGTAAAGGTCTCATGGGGTAACCGCCATGAGGAAGAGGCAACCTGGGAACGAGAAGAGGACGTGAGGAAAGCTTATCCCGAACTCTTCCAAGAGAAAGCTACTTTCGGGGACGAACGTTTCTAAGGAGAGGAGAATTTGTAACAAAAAAAAAAGGCGGGGGGCTAAGTCAACTGAGGGGCAAAAATGTCATTTTGCCCCTCCAGCTCTAATAGGGGTCCAAGGGGAACCCCGTCAGATTCCCTGCAAAAGAAAGAAGGAGTTAGAGAGAAATCAGAGAGGAGCCAGCCGGGAGGAGTCAGCCGGAATCCATCTCCAGACGAGACTCGTACAAGGATTGAGAGGCTAGCAAGGCCGACGCTTCGTCAAAACCTAAGAACATTTCGCGAGGTAAGGTTTCTGAACGACATTGCTCAGATCTGAGTTTTTTCCTACGTGAATCGATCCTAAAATGCTAAAATCTTCACCTAGGAACAACTCACGCATGGTCCGTGAAGAAGTTTGGCCGAGAACTCAACCCAAAGGCGGAGATCCGAGAGTCATCCGAGAACGGTGAGTGAACTTCCGACATTCTTAAATCATCTTATAGTCAAGAAAAAATTACAAAAAAAATACTAGGACGTAGCCTGTAACACGATCTAGATCTTTGCTGAAGGAATCATATCGATCCGATCTACGAATCGAAAGATATGAAAATCGGAAAAAATAGACTGGGTTTCGGTTTTCAGAGGACAGAGAAGAAAGAAGAAAGAGAAAAAAAAAAGCAGCTGGCGAGGCGGAGGGCAACGACAGGCACCGGACACGCGTCGACCACCGGCTGGAGCAACACAGCTCCAGCGAGGCGTCGACACATGTTGCCTGCAAGCCGGGCCAAAGAAACCAGTATTTTTGGACACCTCACGGGCAAAGAAACGCTAGCAAAAGGGCACACGTCAACCAGGTAAGTCACCACCCAGTATTTAGAAGAAATACTTGTAGGATTCGCTCGAATTGCATGCATGCTAGTAGTTCTGCTTCAGATTAGCTCTCCATGTAAATTATTAGTAAGATTAACTGTTGTGGTAAATTACATGAGTGTTGCTGTATGCTTTAAGCTTCCGCTGTATGTATGCATGCGTTAATTTATGTTAGAATTGTGTATGCCGAGTTTCAGGTGCTTGATGGACGAATTCGCCCCATTGAGCGCGAACTTCGTGCTCTGGGTGCTTGATGGAGGTCATCGTCCCGTTGAGCCGATATGCCTAGTTTGCATGAATTACATACTATGATGTTAGAAGAAGATTGCATGCACCCTCTGTTAATTGCTAGGGCCCATTTCTATGATAAGATTAGGGAATTTTTGTTAGGAGCGATATGCCGCTCTAGTCAGAGTTAATTTTCCCCTAGAAACTTAGCGGTTTACCACGACAAGAAGGTACCCCGAAGTGTTCATAGATTGCTAGCGTGTGAACGGTATCTATTGCTTCGTTTGAGGACCAAAGGGTCCCTGATCAGTCCTTACTGCTCATAGCCATTTCGCATGGGAAATGTGTCCCCACATCGTACAGCCCATTAGCTGCATGGGAACGGGTTGGGTCGCGCCCCCCATAGGGGAACTAAATGGGCGTAGGGGTACTCAGCACACCCCTAAGCTAGGTACCATGTAGTCCCAGATAGCCATGTAGAGGTAGCATCTCATAGAGAGATACCGACCATATTAGCTTGGCATAAAGAACCTCTAGGCGTTTAATGAAAGAACAAAGAACCAGTGAAACCCAAGGGGCAAACCCCAAGGGACCAAGATTAGAACCAGATGTTCTAGAACCAAAATAAGAAACCGTGGCAACCTATTAAATTAAGATGCGAAGAGAGCCTACAAGTAGGTGGCTTACTGAGTATAATTTTTATACTCATCCTTGCTATGTGTTTCCTTTTTTTTTAAGGATCACGAGGCTTCGGTCAAGAGTGGGCGTGATCAGACGGGAAGTGTCACAGAGGAATCGGTTGTCCCGGGGCGTCAGTTCAGTCTTATTCTTTAGTATTATATTTGCATTCTTTTGAAATTTATTTTCCAAACAGTCTTGTGTTCTGTGTTTGTCGTTCGAAAAAACTTTATTGGAATTTGATGATTTTCTTTATTTCATATTTATTCTTTAGTATTATATTTGCATGGTCTGTAGTAAAATATTGGGTTGTGACAAATTCCAAAGAAGACTACCTCCGCAAATACTATCTGGTAACTGAGAGAATGAAATTGCAGGCAACGCTGTCAGAATGAAATTGCTGGCAGCGTTCCTTAAACTCAAGCAGGGAGACAAATCTGTGGAGGATTATGTTTTGGAAATCAATAGATTGGCAAGATTCTCTCCAGTATTTGTCAGCACTGAAGAGCTGAAGGCTAAACGTTTTATCGCTGGTCTAAGGGAGGACATTAAAGGTTATGTGGCATCTCAGGCATCCATAGATTATACAGAAGCCCTCAAAATGACGACCCTCATTGATATGCCTTGTATTGACAAATTACAGTAAGGGTCAACTAAAAAATCCCACATCGCAATTCAGCAGAAAAAGATAGACCGGAACCATCCCAAGACTGACATGCCACCCCATGGTGGCACTGTCAATCACGGAAGAGCCTCAACACGGAATAGGACTAATTGCCCTCAATGTCAGCCTCACAAGGTGGAGTGTCATGTTGGAACTAATTCATGTTCCAGTTGTGGCCAAACAGGGCACTTTGCAACAAACTGTCCTTAGATGAGAGACCAAAACACTAATCGATCTGCAATACAAAATCAAAGGGGTCGAGGTGCCCAACAGCAGCAGCGGCGAGCTATAACCCATGCAACCACAGACAAGTACACTACCCATCTT